AGGGAGGGAGGCGGGACAATGAAAGTAAATGTTTTGAGAATGATGGTGGCAACAAAAGTACAAATGTGCTTGACACAGTGTATGGATTGTGATAAGAATTGTACGAACTCCCAATAAAATGATTTTTTTTAAAAAAAGGTATCATGAAAGAAACAACAGCACATTTGCCTTGAGGACGAGATATGGAAAGACGATGCAAGTTTTTTTGGAGGCAGTACAACAAATGCTTCTGGTCAAGTTCACATGTTCTGATGTGGGCAGTATTGCACATGAGCAAAAGCATGATGTGGGTACCTTTGAAGGATAGATTGTCTTGAATGCAGTGTGAGTGTGTACATTGGGAATAGGAGAGGTTTGGGCTACAAACTTAAGAATCAGAGAAACAGAAGCATTGATATACAGGCATGCTGAAGTTCATTTAAAAAAGATCCATTCAAGATGATGTGAGCAATAAGGGGTTTCTTTTTAGAAATAGATCCAGGAAGTAGTTGCTACTCTATTCCAGAGAGGGCTGGTTATAACAGAGGGGGAAAATCAACAGGATCTAGTGACTAATTGAGGATAGCTATTGGGGACAGGAATGGAAGCTAATTTTGGCTCTAGGTTGAAAGGCCAACATTTGATGGCAAATAACCTAGAAAGAGTTTTATTTAGGCAACACAATAAATTTTTCTGCTTAAAATTTTGTCCTCTGATGTGACCATAGCCCTACCTCTCCCTCATTTCTTATATTTAAGTGATTTAAATATTTATATTGCCTGTCTCACTTATAAGCCAATTTGAATTTGTGAATCCTGCTACCTGAGAAAGAGCTTCTAAAGAGGTAGAAAAACGTCCCATTAAATGCGATAAGTTCTGTTTTGAGCATGTTTAGTAAAAGATGATATATAATATTCTAGATACATCTTTAAATGTAAAGCTGGTAACTGGGAAAGTAATTCAGGTAATAAAATGGGAATTTTTACCTACGGTGTGGAGAAAAGGGTTCATATAAAGTATTACCAACATCAAAATAATGGTAAGCTCCCGGAGAATGAAGGCATACATTTCTTCGATAATAGTAATTATATATTGAACTGAACAGTGAGCCCCACACTGCTGGCATGAGTTTAGCTTCCAGTTGACTGCATACGCTCTTTCCCCAAAACAGCATAAGGGAAAATAGTAACTGTCCCTCAAGAACTGAAGGGGTAATTCTCCTCAGAACATACAAAACTATTTTGTAGTCACTAGGATCGTATCCAGACTAGTACTTATAAAGCTTTCATTTTATGACTATATTTACCTCTTTGACTTACTAACACCACAGTTTTGTGCTAGAAAAGTTGAGGATTGAATATAAATTGAATGGGAAGGGGAAAATCCTCTTTAAAATGTTACTCATTCTTCAGAAGTGGGTTAATAAGCAGCTTCAAAGTGGTTTTCAGAGCAAGAGAGCCTTTTGTGCACCAAAAGTAGGTTATAGAGACATTGGCTCTTATTCCTAGTTAACTTGGTAGGTATGTGATCTGAGATGATCCCTGCAGTTGGTAATGCTCTGTCTGCTTCGTTGAAGATTAGAATTGTTTGTTTCAATTAAAACATGTTTAGAAAATTGAGACTACTGCAAAAATGTGTTATTAATCTCCCTTTTATTTATGGCTGTGTATGCCATCCATGAGCTTTACGTGTTTAAAAGTATGATGGTAAAATGCATTTCATTACACCCACTTGATTATTTTTGCAAATATTTATTAATCTACTTTGATGGAAAGAGATATTAAAAAACTGAATCTGAGGTCTGTTTGATGTCATGAATGACCTCAACCTATTTTTAAGGTATGTGATAGTGGAATGTGAAGATCAAGACACTCAACAGAGAGATCCAAAGACCCATGAGATGTACTTGAACGTAATGAGAAGATTCAGTCAAGCATTGCTGAAGGTACCTGTTTAATGTGGGGCTGGATAACGGCAGTGCTGTGATGGTTAGATTTTATGTGATGGTACCTGTGTGCAGGTAAGGGTGAAGGCTAACCTGTACATCAGGTCTTAGCCTGGGGATGTCTCCTTGGGAGGGTAGCCTGTTTCTAATATGAGAGACAGTGAGAACTTGCACCTCTTCACTTCCTGCTTGCTTGGGTTGCATGTCTGGCTCTGGGGATGGCAGCCCATCAGACCTGCCAATCATGGGATCTGTGGCATCCTGCCATGGTCCTGTGGACTTGGGGTTTGCCCAGCATCCACCAGCCTGTGATCTCCTGAATTCCCGCTTTGCCTTTGTGTCATCCTGGCAACTGCAGGAGTCTGAAGTGGGCTCTGGCTAGCATCAGACCAATCAGCTGGAATTGGAATAGGTTGGGAGGCTTTTGATGTAAATTGCTTTCTTGATTTACAGACTTTACACATGTATGAATGTCACTGGTTTTATTTCTCTAGAAAACTCAACCTAACACAGGTGCATACACCAGTCTCACCTCTTTGCATGCTTCTGTACATTTCACGAACCAAAAATGTTTTCTATACCTGCTTTATAAATGCTTACAAAGAAGGAAAGAATAGTAATTTGTGATACTTGAAAATTATGTGAAAATCAGAATTCAATATTTGTAAAATTTTATTGGAACTTGGTCATGCTCGTTTATTTTCATGTTTCTTTGGTTGCTTTTCTGCTGTAATAGCAGTTGAAATGGAGACTGCTTGGTCCACAGAGCCTAAAATGTTTACTTCTTGGCTATTTACAGAAAGTTAGCTGAGCCTGGATTTCATAAAATATGTCCCATACATGGAACAAAAGGAAGCAAAGCTTTGTGTCTTCTTCTATGTTGCATTTTTCTTATCAACAGTGGAGAGATAGATCCTCCAGAATTCTGACAATGATTATAGTGCAGATATTGTATAGATAAGTTATCTTGTGTTATTTAAACAGTTTTTAACTCATAGCCTTGAAAACACTCTATGGGGCAATTCATGGGTTTGCCATGAATCAGAATCAATTCAATCGCAATTAATAAAAACAAAACTTTATAGAGATGTGTGAGGCCATTTTCTTCCTCCCAAAACAAAAACTTAAAAGACATTAACAGTTGCTGACCAAGTGGTTATCAGCCTAATGTGTAACCCAGTACCAATGCTCCTTGGTGTTCTTGTACTTGTTAAAGCAATGTCACAATTCTGTCATTTACAGCCTTTGGCATCTTATGAAGACATTTCAGTTTCTGTAAGCCTAAATCCCTACATCTTTGAAATGGGAATTATAATTTTTGCCTAGCCAACCTTAATATTAAATGAGAAAATGTGCACTGATTTATGAACTGGGAATCACAATAAGTTAAATGTTAAAGAACCCAAGTCAAATTCCATTGCTATCTAGTTAATAACTATTCCTAAAAACCCTCCCTGCAGGGCAGTGTAAAACTGCCCCATAGAGTTTCCAAGGCTGTAATCTTTATGGACACAGATAGCTACATCTTTTTCTCACAGAGCAAGAAGCGAGTTCAAACCATTGACCCTTAGGTTTGGATCCAACATTTAGTTTATATACTTGTGCTTCAGTAAACATATGCATACTATGTTGCGATTTTATAACTTTTTTTTTAATTAAGAATTTTGGGTTTCTTGAGAATAGTATTTGTTACTGCCAGCTGATTTCTGAAAATAATAGCTATCATAATGAATCAATTAAGTGAGTGCATTATGGGTGAAAACCATCCTATTTAGTCACATAGTTGTTGGTAGGAAATACTTAATAGACCTGTACTCAGGACTGAGTCCTAAAGACTGAGATAAATATTCCAGTAAAAGTTGGCTGCTATTTAACAAAGAGATTTTTCATTACCTCTGAATCAAGATAATTACATAATCCTTTTCAGTTTTATTTTGTATTGACGTTTATATCTATTAAAAGAATAAATAAAGCTCTCGCATGCTATTAAAGACACCGGATCATTACGCTTCAGAGAACTCATTTTCGTTCCTTTGAATTCCATCAGGGTGATAAGTCTGTCAGAGTTATGCGTTCTCTGCTGGCCGCACAGCAGACGTTTGTAGATCGGCTGGTGCATCTCATGAAGGCAGTGCAGCGTGAAAGTGGAAATCGGAAGAAAAAGGTAAACCTCTTCTGGGCTTAGCTCTCTATTATGACTAATGATGGCCTGGCAGTAGGAAATACTGAGTTTGGGCTACTTGGTATATGTTAGCACTTGTGCGTGGGTGTGGTGTGTGTGTGTTAGGATCACTGGTGAGCACTGACCATGTTCCAGACCCTATTTTGAGAGCTTATATATATTGATTCCTTAATCCTTACAACAACCCTTTTAACGAGGTGCTATTATTATCTCAATTGCATAGAGAGGTTAAGTACCCTACCTCAGGAAACAGAGCTAGGATGAGTTGAAGCAGAGATCTGTATGTGGGCACTCTGACTGTACCTCTAATGCTCTGTTGGCATATATTTAAAGTTTTTAGTTTCTTAAAATTTGATATAATTAGGCCTGATAGAGATCATGAAGCTATGATGTCATTTGAAGGTTCAAAGTGACTTGCCCAATTTTATTCTCAACTTCTAACTCCCTGCCCCCAGGCAGTTCTGACTCATGGTGCCCCTACAGGACAGGGTAGTACTGCCCCTGTGGGTTCCCAGACTATTAATTCTTAAAGGAGTAGAGAACCCTGTCCTTCTCCCCAAATTTGCACGATGAGTTGTTCATAACATTAATCTTTATATTGGGAAATTTCTAGTTTTTGTTGAATAGAATAAGTATCTATTGATATCATTTTTCTATATTAGTAGCCTAAATTATATATAGGATTTAGTTCACCTTTTTTTCTCTAGGTAATTAAATTAGATAGCTGGCAAATCTTACTGAACTCTCTTTGTAAAACAGTTCAACATAGCCTATTTCATAAGCCTGTTATTCTGAGTCTGCAGGCTTGTGAGAGGAAAGTAGAGAGGAGAAGGCGGTGAGTTGAGTTGCAGTCCCAAGGCAGAGGATCAAGCCTAAGGACAGAGACTCGCAGCACTATTTGAAAAGAAGAAGTAATATCCACATTGCTTGGGAAGGTGAAGTAGGCGGAGGAGAAAGAGGTTCTTATTGAGATGGCATTTTCCCCCATCAATGAGAAGAGTCACAGCCATTGTTTTGTGTTTGTTTGTTTGTTTTGTTTTATTGCCATTGTTAATTATATTAATCCTGGCTATTCCCCCACAACCTCTTTCCAGAATCTGTGTGATCCCAACCCCCCATTAGTATTTGCTTGTGTGACTTTCGGGCTTTATATTTGAAATCAGTACGCTTTAATGTGTTCTACCTATCAGGTATAAATCTGACTACACATCAGTTTTTAGCTATTTTGTTGTTTTGGAACCTGTTCTGCACATGGCTCGAAGCCCCTGAAGATGAATCCAATGTCTGCTATACAGCCTGTATTTTAAGTCAGACTGGTCTATATAATCAGCATTGGCTAAAAATTCTTTCAGACGTTTCTTAATGATGCCATCAAAGATTAATTTTATTTATGTAGAAATCAAGTTCATAGTATGCTAGATATTGTTGCATATTACAGAGAAAAATTGAGAAAGGGAAGTAGATATACTGGGTTTAAATAAATAACAGGGTAGTGTGTGACTTTAACAGGATGGTCAGGAATGGCCTCACTGACTTTTGGACAGACGCCTGAATCAAGGGAGGGAGCAAGGCCTGTGAATAGCTGAAGAGGGAGCTGCAAGTGCTGCGGCATGTGATTCAGAGCACAAGAGACCCTGCCCTGACATATAGTTTAAGGAGGACATTTATGAAGCTTTACAAGAGACAGACTCAATATAAATGCATCATTTGGATGAAGGAGGCCTTTAGCATGAGGTCATAATGGCATCTGAGGATTTGATTCATAGGACACTAGTTCAGTAAGGCAGGGAACAAAGGAAACTCACAAATTCTTGAGTGATGGCAGATGAATACATCACAATTAGAGGTGGGACTACAGAAGCAGGAAAAGGGAAGGGCCGTGATTGGGACTTACCCTTATGTTAGGTAGAAGGGTGTGCAAGATTGTTCCATGGCCTTCTGACCAAGGCAGTTAGGACATCACTGATTTAGGGCAATAGTGGGTAGAAGTTAGAGAATAAGAGCAGTTAAAGGCTGTGGTAGTAAGCAGGATGAGAGAAGATGGTGGCTTGAACCCCTGGGGCCATCACAGTGCAGATGGTGAGAAATGGCTGGATTTCTCATGTTTCTGTTACTGCCTACAACATCTCAACTTGAAAGGTAACTTGAAACTAAGATTACTTGGCAATCCACCATGGTAATATATCTAATCATCCTTTTAGTTAGGGCTAATTTATAAAAAGAAGTCTTTGTTAGAATCATTTACTCTATTGCATTTTTCATAAAGGTTTTAATGACACACAAATTCCTATTGACTTTCTTTGATTCAAAAGGAGATTTGGAGTCTTACCAAAGGCAGAAGATTTTATTTTATATATTGGTGGTTCTTGTTACATATTCTTTATCTGAACTGCCATTCAGTCACCATTTCCAGAGTTCACTTTGGATCCATTGCCTTGTCGGCCATCGTAGCAGTGGGAATACTGTGTCATGCTGTGATTGGCAAGTCAGGTTTTCCCTTTGAAGGACAAGCCCACCTATAAAGCACGCAAAGCTCATACATCCTTCAGGGGAAATTGTTTTGAAATTGAATAGCAGGCCTTGGTCTAAGTACTATGAATACTGCTAAAGGGGAAAGTTGTTCTACTGTGACTTGGCTGTTTTAGTTCTGAAATTCTGCTTTGATTCAATGTTGATGGGATCGGAAGAAAGGAAGTGATGTTAACGTTAGGAAAGTTTGTTCAATGGAAAGTGGCATCTAAGTTTGTGCAAGAGAATTGACCGGAAGAGCTTAGTGAGAAGTCTTGCTTAATATTTGGTTACACAAAATAAAGCTTCAAATGAAGTTACAGTTCTCTCTAAGTCTTCAGAAAGTCTTTCAAAAAGGGAAACTGAATATTTAATCCCATATGAATATATTTCTTTTATTTATTTATTTTTCCTTTCCCCTGCTGCAGCAAGAGAGAGATATTCTCTATCATCCCTTTGAAGGTCTGGCTTCTTAGCCAGGGTTTGTTCCTTTGAAAGTATGCTGCTGCTTTTGCTAGGCTTCTGATATGTGCTCTTTTATTTTACTTTGCATATCTTTTTTAGAGTGTGCTGCATATCTTTAAAAGTTAATAGTCAATTTTTAATGTCTGTGCAATATGTCTTATAATTAATCCTCTCTGATGTGTTCTAGAATGAGAGACTACAGGCCCTGCTGGGAGACAATGAAAAGATGAATTTGTCCGATGTAGAACTTATCCCATTGCCTTTAGAACCACAGGTGAAAATTAGAGGAATTATTCCAGAAACAGCTACTTTATTTAAGGTAATCTTGATTGTGTATAATTAGAACCCAACTCTTTAAACCAGGAACCTAGTATAATGCCTTATAAAATGATTATATTGCAAGAACTTCGCATACTTTTATTTGCTTCATAAATGTTAGATTAAAAGTACTTTCACTGTTTCGTTATGATTCTCATATCACTGTTCCATGGACATTTATAAAAGAAATCATGTAGAATATTTTAATCTCTGGGTTATTATTTAATCTTTAGTTCATGAACTGCTTTTTAACCAAAGCTACACTTTGGTTAAAGGTAGCTTTTTTCGTCCTTTAAAGGTTTTTTATTTTTGTTTTTGTGTTTTAAGCAGTAAGTTCTAGTTCACATGGTTAATGAGTTGCATTTCACTTATTTTGACATTGATATTTTTCCATTCAATATGTTACTATGCTCATCTTATATTGTCAAGTAGCAATTGTCTTTTATCCTTGATAGCACACCACACATTCTTTTGGCTCGCCACCATTGCACTGGTGTGCACAACAAATGGCAGCTGTCTCCTAAGCAAGCTAAAAGGCTAGGACAGTTTCTGTTCTGAAAGTGGGCAATGCCGCCCCCTGTGGGGAACTGGCGGCTTCAAAGGCAGATACTAACGCTTGATCCTGTACTGTGCAGTATAGTGCAAACATTTTTAATTACTAAGGAGGCTCTCGGTATTTTTTTTTCCTGGAAAGTGGCCGTTTGGGAGCCTGTGGGCTAGAGAACTAAACATCCTTACCTGTTGCTCATTGGTACTTGCCAGGCTTTATCCTGACAGCTCTCTGTGAGATGGGCACTGCAGGTATTTTATGATTTCTAGGGGTAGAAGAGTACAAAAAGAGTATAGGTTTTTTAAAAGACATTTACCAAACAATCCAAGTTCACACACAACTGAAAACATCTTTTAAGTAATACTTAATCTTACCGATCATCATACGTTCTAATATTCTCTGGTTTTTAAGAGTTACCTGTTCTATTCATTTATATATGTTGCTTGCAACGTTTTTCTGACTTCAAAACTCATTCATGGATTACAGCCTGTAGTTTTTAAACTGTGACTGTGGAAGATACTGTGGAAATGCATATCAGCTTGCATTTGCAATCCCGTGGATGATGAAAGGTAGAAAGCTACATGCAAGTCAGGGTACATGCAACAGGGGGAGCTTCTTTGGCCTAGATGACTTCCAAATAAGACAAGACCAAGGTGAAAATTTTTTTCCAAAAACAAAACAAAAAACATTTCCATTGAGTTGACTCATGATTTAATAGTAACCCTGTGTGACAGAGTAGAATTGCCTCAGGGATTCCAAAGTCTCTGATCTTTAGGGAAGCAAGCTGCCACGCTCTCCTGTGACATGGAACATCTGGTGGGTTCAAACTGCCTACCTTGTGGTCAACTGAGTGCTTAACACAGGCCAGCTTCTAATAAGCCGCCAGCTTCTAATAAGCCTTTTCTTTAAAGAATAATCAAGAGCGAGCAGTCAGCCCAGTGGAAGACTGCCTGCCCCCCCCCCTCCGCCCTTTCACAAAAAGTGGGAACAATTATCTTTTTTAGAGAGCAAGACTTAGAACAATGAGGAAAAAAATATGTGTCTGATACTATTATTAGGGGAATTCAGTCATAATTGTGTCTTATACTATAAAACCCAACTGAAACCCACTGCCCTGGAGTCACTTCTGATTCTGAGAAATTCTACTTCTGAGTCAGTCATTCTTGACTGAAGCAAACAGCCTTATCTGTCTCCCTTGGAGGAACTCTGAAGGATTTGAACCATGAACCTTGTGTTAAGTAGCTTATTTAAAGGACATGAATATAGTTTGACATCTGACTTCACAAGGGGGAAGGAGAATCAAATTTAACATCAGTCTATGGACAATTTATATAATACAGAGGTCAGGCATGCCTCCACCCTCCAATCTTCTTATAAATTCTGACATCAGGTGTCCCTCCCTGTCTGGTACTCTCTATGTCTCTGCTAGGTTCTGCAGTTGATTGCACTGGTCATACAGAACTCACGGACAATACTCAAGTTTTATGAGGATGCCAACAAGTTAAGATTCTGGATCATCAATCTTAAGGATACCATTGTTTAATCAGGACAGCTTCTTCTCTGCTGTTCCCATAGGAAGGCCTCTCTCTGGCCTTTGGCCAATTGTCTTGGCCTCTGCTTTGCTCAGGCTATGTTATAAAGCTCGTTTGGCACTGCTAATAGAGGTCCAAAGAGCACTCCACTCTACCTATAAGCCCTGAGCTGAAGACACTCAGTGGGTCAGCAAACCTAGCTTTCTTGATTATGTGCCTGGAAGTACCCCACTCCCCAAGTGAGCCTTCTTCCTTCAGGCTCAGATTGACTTGCTCTGTGGGCCAGGAGCTCATCACTCAAAGCAGCCCTGGTGCTCTGGTACTGCTGTTGCTGCCCTTGGCAATCCCTCTGTCCCTTCTCTGGTGTCACATCTTTTTGTCTCCTGGATCTAGGAGGTTGGTATTCAGGGATCATCAGGCTCCAAAGACATGCTTCACTCCTGTCTCTTGATGGTAGTGAGATGATACCCCTGTGCTGCGTCTGAGGTGGCTCAGTTTTTACCCAGCTGATGATCAGCCTCTATATCAGAGCTCCAAGGTTTTACAATCACAATTAACCTGGTTAACAATCACAACTGAATCCTGTGGTCCTATCAGCATTTCCTTCTCCACCTTCTCTTACCCAGGCCCATCAGTCAAAGAGGAAATACAATCAATTTGCAGAATCCCACGTATTCTTTTGTTTGTAGTACCAGAGAGTTTGGCTAAAAGAGCCATATGAACTGCACAGCACGGCGCAGAGCAGGCCAGTGCTTACTCTACAGTGCCACCAGAGGAGTCAATACGATCACCTGGGCCTTCTTTTTCAGTGGACGTACACTCACTCCATGGAACTTTCTGCCCATATCTGCAGGGAGGATCCATGGGTCCCTCTTGTCTTTTAAAAAAATTATTATATAATGTAGTAACTGCATCAGATTTTTTTCTCAAGTGGCACATGAGGAAAGGATAACATTTCTTTCTGATTCCTAATGAGAACCTCAAAAGCATCTGTCTTTTAGAGAATTCAATTTCTTACATCATCTGTGATACTGCCCATGAGGATGCCAACGGTTCTTTGTAAAGAATCATTAGCTAAATTGTATCATAGGTTCTTGTT